CATTAGGAGAACGAAATTATTGAGGGATAGGGAGTTGAATACAAATATATTACTTTTTATTTTTTATATTTAAACGCAAAAGAAAGACAGGTATGCCACTGGAGGTGGTCGTTTGAACTTAAAAAGACACGGGGACTTTTTGGATAGGCTTTGCGAAAGATAGGTTAAAATGGAGTGTCAGATCATTTTCTTTTGGTCGGAAGTCACAGGGCCACAGGTCTTACAATTAAGGATTGACTAGTATGAAGATCCTTTGTTTTATATTAGTCACATTTTAATTTAAAAAATGTATATATTTGTAATAGTTGTTATGGAATAAATAGGCTTTTTTATTTATTGTATTAGGAAATAGTTGAACATTTAAACATTTTAATACTGTGATGGAAATGGTCAGGCCCTAATTACCTGCCCTTGGTAGCGGAAGAGGATTTTTAAACATTATTTCGATAAAAGTTGTATTGCCCCAGTTAATATCACACCCTGGACACAGAATGATCTGCAGAACCTATGCGAACGGATAGTTCAGCAACTTCAAATGGACGGAAATTAGTTCCAACCAATCATAGTACATATAAGATATAGTCTAAATATCTTCCGTGTTAGGGAAGGGGTGTGAGTAAAATAAAAAAAATTGCCAATATTAAAATTAATTTCAGCATCTGGTAACCCTAGACGTTTCTCACAACGCGGTGGAAGTCCTTGTATTGTCATCTCTACGCGGTCTAAGGGAGTTATACGCGTCACACAATGCGATACAACACGTAGCCTTACACGGTGCCTCGCTACGAGTGCTACGGGCTCCTTTTAATCGTAAGTTTACCCTTAATACGTGAGTAACAAATATTTGTATGAAATTGAGCACTCAGTGGGGTAATTTGGAACTAAACGAAATACGAAATCTTATGTTCGCTAGTCTATATGTCTCGTCTTTCAACCTCATCAAGTTTATTAAGGGTCCAGTTTAGGAATAAAACAAATGTATATTTTCTACATTAAATGATATTTTAAATAGAATATGTATTTTAGTATTTCATAGTTGTAGTTTAAAGGACTTAACCGTTTGTGATCGATTACAACAGCCAAAAAAATTATATTTAGCATAGTACCTATCCACTAAATATAATATCCACCAATTAATTAAATATTTTCTGATAAAAAATTTCAATTTCAGATTTGGAGAGTCTAACCACATCAGTTCCGCCTATAAACCTAATCGAGTTAGACTTATCACACAACAAATTAACGTCATTACCCCAATGGCTCAGTGGTTGCTCTGACTTAACAAAACTTTACGCAAGCAACAATCAGTTGACATCCCTCCCTGAACACCTGTTCTGCAGTGAACTCTCCAGTCTTAGCCATTTGCACTTAGCCCATAATAAAATATCGACAATACCGTCGATGCCTCGTCTCAGGTCACCTCTCAAAGAACTCCTCTTACACAATAACTCTATTCAAGCTCTTCCAGAAAACTTCTTTTCAGTCTGCGATAGGTTGTGTGTATTAAACCTCGCCAATAACAGATTAAGCCGCTTACCACGAGTTAGGGGTGTCTCCTCACATATCCTAGAACGCCTTTACTTAACAGCTAACTGTTTGAATGATGAATCCATCGACGTCATAGCCACATTCAGAGGTCTGAAGATATTACACATGGCCTATAATTGCTTGACAAGTTTACCGGAAAATTTCTTCAACTTCTGGCCTGAAATGGAGGAACTTGTCGTATCCGGAAATTCTCTAACGAAACTTCCTGATAGTTTGCCTCAAGTCAATAATCTGAAAGTTGTGAGGGCTCATTCGAATAGGCTAAGATCTGTTCCCATGTTTGCTTGTAGCGCTTCTGTGAAAGTGCTAGATTTTGCACACAATGAACTAGATAGTATAGATCTGAGACTTCTTGCTCCGAAGCAGTTAAAGTTTCTGGATATATCTTGTAATCAAAGACTGCAAGTTGATGAATCACAATTTAATGCATATAAATGTCAAAGGCCCTTAAGCTTAGTGGATGTCACCGGGCGGAACTCAGCGGCTTGGACTCAAAAGACATCTTATCATGAGGAACTCACCGGAACTACGCCCTGGGTGACAGGTTTTTCAGAATGTCCAAGTAAAGTGTTACGATTATCTTGTGGACAAATACGTCTTCCATCATTTTGTAACAAAGAAGGTCTTTTCGCAGTAATAGACGGAGAAAACGATACAGAAGTTACGAAGATATTGCAGACAAGTTTACCTGGATTGCTTTTAGAAGAAAAGTCTATTAAGGAAACTGTCAATGAATATATGAAATATGTCGTTTTATCTGCACATAGAGAACTAAAGGAAAAGGGACAGAGAAACGGAGCCTCTCTTATCATGTGTCATTTATCTCAGATAAATGTGCCAGAAAATGGATTTGGACAAACAACTAGGAGATACAATATGAGATTGGCAAATGTAGGCGATACTAAAGCCGTATTGAGTCGACGAACTGGACCATTATGTTTAGGCGCAGAGAATAATAAAAGAATAGGATATTCCTCGCGATTCCCCAACACTGTGCCAGACCCAGATGTGATTCAAACTGTGATAAAAGAAGATGACGAATTCCTCATACTTGGTAATGGCAAATTCTGGAGTGCTGTATCTGTTGAAGCTGCAATATCCGAAGTACGATCGGAACGAAATCCTGTTCTAGCAGCCAAACGGCTACAAGATTTGGCACAAAGTTACGGTGTTGAAGATTGTATTTCTGTGGTTATAGTGAGATTTGATACCGTACGTTCCGATGTTGATTTACTAATGCGAGAGTTGCGACAAACAATAAACACAACTAAACCAGTTTGTCAATCTGACTGCTGTTGCTCACGTTTAGAACCCTGCTGCCATTCGATATCTCCAAAATCGAATAGTGATCGTTCATCTCCGAGCGGTCAAAGCGATAGACCTCTTAGCGAAGTTCTTAGCCAACAGCATTACGCAAGTGTCCGGTCTCATAATAGAGCTTCAGAAAGAAAACCACGGGGTGGAGTCGCTAGAGCTATCCGGGTCCGGGTTGAGGAAGATAAAGAAGAACGTAAAGATGAAATACCATCATCTGAGGAACAGTTCAAATGCTGGGAATATATGTTGGAACAAAACACGCAAATGATATTCGATAAAGAACTGGATAAGCTATCACAAGGAATAAAAACAGACACGAATACTCTAAAAAGTGTCAAAGGATTATCAGGCAGCAGTCCGCAACTACATTTGGCAGGGAAACAATCGAAACTACCATTTCTTTCGAAGCATTTCGGAAGTGCGAGATCGTTTGGTACTGCTCTAAAGCCAGAATTCCGCTTTGGATCCGGTCGTATGCCTAATTGTGGTCCAAACGCTGCGTACTTTGGTTCCCTTCAGAGGCTAATGCCATATCATTTGGAGTACGATTTCGCTGTGATACAAGAAAAAAATGCGCAATCCCAAGAATCGCTTGATCTCGAAGGTCGAATGCAGCAATATTGGGGTGTAGCAACTACAGAACTATAAATTATTGAAATGCCTGTAAATAAAACTGACTTCAGCACAATATGGTTTATTATTTATTTACATATAACATAATATATGATATCTCTCGACTAGATTCTTTGCACAAAGTATTACTATGACTTAATTAATGAGCTATTTGATAGATTTTTAATTACATTCATTGTATATACAGTATTCTGTCAAAGTTGTGATCGTAAAACATTTACATTACAATAAAACATTTGATTAAGTAATTACGTTAATTACATTGAATTAAAACAGTTCCTTAGACTTTAATCAGAATTTCTTAAGCTACATGCGTAAATCATATTAGATACATTTAACTATTTACAATTTAATATAAATTAGTTCCTTTATTAACATATTCTAATATTTACACAAATAACGAAATGTTTAAAATGCTGCGCTTTTACATTCTTTACAATTTGTCTAAGTAAAAATCAATCTTAGTAAAAACATTGCACGAAAAAGTATTCTTAGATTTTTTATCATTATCTAATTTATTGCCTTATAAGCCTGTAACGATCTTTTATTTCTAAAGGACTTCAAAGGCCTGGATCACATCAATTCGGTTTTATGTTACTTTACCTTTTATAAGTCAGATTATCTGTACTGGGTGTGTGGAACGCTTATGATTACATCATAACGATGATTACGATAACATCAAGGCTGTAATGAAGAAATTCGACAATATATATCGTTAAGCGCTTATTACTCTGGGGTAAGTACAGGTTACATTCTTCAAACAAACCCGTATATCAATAATTATCGCGTGAAGCATCGGTTTGGATCCCATTCAAATTAGAAGCTTCAGTCAACAAATTTTCAATATCTACAGGGGAGCGTTCAAGTATTACGTAACGAATTTTGGGAGGGGGACCTTTTGTAAAACGTAACGATGCGGGGCGGGGATTGAATTACGCATAATAGTAACTAAAGAGTCACTAGGTGGTCACGAAACGTTTTACTAGACTTGGGAACAGTACTATACTTGGGTACTGAAAAATGTTACGGCGAGTTATATGGGAGGGGGGGTCAATAATCTTCAAAAATTGCGTTACGTAATACTAGAACGCTCCCCAGAATGTTCTTAGATTTACTTTAAACGCGATAGCTAACTCGATGAATCGTGTATTAACAATTCAGAATGGTTAGTTCAGAACGTTGAATTATTGGTCACAGCGATCGCGAACACACTCATATAAAAGACAGATATACAGCTAAAGAAGTGGACAAGGACTCGCGCTGTTCGTCTCGCTATGCAATAAGTATGCTATATAATAACAATGTTGTCGTGGCAAAGAATTTAAACCATACGTGTACGCAACGTCTACTCAATGAAAACTGTATAACCCGCTATTGAAATTGTTTGTAAGTCACATTTCACGTTTAACAACTAGTTCGAGTGGTTGTAATGCAATCTGCGGCGGGCAGGGCGCGGGCAGCGGTGGGGGCGCTAAGTGCCCGTGCGCTGGCGGTGGCCGCCGCTAGGGATATCCTCGAGGTGAATAATGCTCACCGAGCCACGAGTCTGGTGATGGGGGGAAGTCGGGGTAGCCCCCTGCAGCGGGGGATGACGAGCTGCTCATGTCTGATGCACCGCCGGTAGCGAGACCGCCGCTTATGGCTTGACCTGTTGATTATTATTACATCATGATAGATTTGTATAAAAAAATCTTAATGTTTAAATTTCTAATGAAGGTAGTTCAGTAAGAAGATAACTTGTTTATTTTGATCTTAAACTATGAGTTTTGCTCAGTTTAAAAATCTAAATAAATTAACGCTCTTACCTATACTAAAATACTTAAACAAATAGTTTAGTCAAAAGTAGTTTATGTACAGTAATAACGAGAAATCAGTTAAATCAGTTTTTGACAGCCGTTAGTAGAAAGTCGAAAAGATAAGACAAGATTATCTAAGATTTAAGAAATGAATATGTACCTATTCAAAATGTTGTCTAACAAATTCAGAACAACATTCAGTAGTTATATACTATTAAATATTAAAAGCTTGAGCGTTTGATAAACTTTCAATAAAATTACTTTGGTATAAAGAGAAACAATGTTACTCTAATATGACTTAATATGGCTAAAGTACCTGAAGAAACACATTACAATAATTATAAGTGCATACCGATATTGGTGTAGACGAGGTGGTCGGGCGGGTAGTGGTAGTGTGCGTGGGGGGGCGAATGCGCGCGCAAGTACGGCGGAGTGGCCCCGAAACGGGAGCCCCCTACCCCCGCGGGAGAACCCTCTTCACCCCCCATTGCAGCCGTACTGTAGCTGTCGTTGCTCAGCTCTACAAACAAAAGTTACAATGAAACAATAGAAATTCAGACATTGTGTAGAAAAAAATAAAAGGTGAAAACAAAATATTATTGCATTAATACAATCATTCATCAACTTAATTGATAAAAAAATAATATGCCTACTTGTTTTAATGTAGAGGTGTGTTTGTTTTTTTATTTATTTATTTAGTTATTACGGATAAGCTGTGTTTGTTAAATTACTATATAGAAATGATTACTTAAAAGTAATTTATGTATGCTCTCGTGTCCTACTTCAAATATTACTTTTTATTGTCATAGGATAACAATCAACTGAAATGTAGTTCCAATATTTGACAAACTTACCATGATGACTAAACGAATCCAAGTCGATTTTAAGCTCATCTTTGTCGAGTAAGCGGTCGTGCCTGGGTGAACCTCCGCCCGAGCCTTTCATGGATCTGAAATATTGTGACCACCGCGTCCGCCCTGCGTCTTTTTTCAGTCTTTTCTCCTTTGCTCTTCTGTAATAATATGTATTTTTAATTTTCAAATCTACAGCATATTTATTTCTATAAAACCATGTGTCCTATAGTGGAATTGCAATTCTATTGTCTTAACCGTAAAGCAGATTTTGGGTAATTTTGATATGGAAACATCCTAGTCCGTCCCATTATCCTAATACAATATACTTTAATTTTACCGTACCACATATCCTCCATCTCACCTTCACTAACATTATTTATCCCAGTAGTAAGAAGCAAAAATTGGTATATTACTGTAGTGTACATAAATTAGTACTATAATAAAAGGATGACTTCTATATAATATCGTCATAGTCCGATGACTTTTAAAAGAAAATACACTAAGGTAACGAGTAAACCATACATAAGTTATATAGTACGTTTTGCGTGTGTTATTAGCGTAGCAGGGAGCCGACCGAAGCTTTTAACAAAAAGCTTAATTAAAGTGCCTTCCCCGCGGACCTGCTGCGATGTAATCGCACTGGATTATTGGAACTACGCCCTAAATTACGTACTTCATATTATCGGGGTAATATGTTCGATACATTACGGTAATTGTATTGGAATTGATATTGGTTCTGTAGGTCGGTTGTTATGGTATAGTGTCGTAAAAATCTTAATTTGCTGTCTATCTACTGGATATCAATCATTGTATCTCATGGCGGAAAATGTAGTGCCTGAGCAAAAGGATATATTTCTGTGCGTACACAAACATTTTTGTTTCGCCATGATACGAGCACAGAACTTTGCACAGGGGCATTTTATAATATAACGTTATACATTGTATAAATGCAGTACCTAATCAAATGTACTCAAAGACAGTTAATGATAAAAAAAGTGTGTGTGTGTCAGCTACGACGGACGATTGGAGTTTACTCCTTACGAACGATAAAATGGCGATAATGTTCTGTGGCTGTCGACCATATTTTCATACTAAAGGTGGTAAGAATATATGTTTTTATAATATAAATGTTTGTAGTAGTAATAAAACGTACCTACATCATCTATGCCCAAATAGGATTTTCTTTCTGTGACCAAAGTTACCTTTATAGTAAGAGAAGAATAAGAATGAACTACTATTGACAAAACTCTATGGCACGCTAGACAATCTACTTTTATTGTTTACACCTGTCAACACTGACAATGTTGTAACGTGGCTGTCAAAACGTGAATTCAAAATAGAAAAGTCTGTGTAATGTATTCCATCTCATTCTTTTACACGTTCAATCCATTTGTCTCTTTCTACATAACGCCTCAACTTTTCGTGTTACACTTGATTTTACTCCTCATAAAATTTCCGTACCGGGCCTTATAACTCAAATCGTTTCTTAAGGAGTAAACTCCAAAAACATACTACATTATTAACTTGTGGTTTTTGAGAAAATTGTAGTAATTGATTAAAACTAGCTATTGAATATTTGCACAAATTCAACTCGTTTGTAGGCAAATTGATAAAGGCATTGTGATAAATGCAAGTTTACGAGGCGAGGCCAAAGCGCAGGGCGTGACGGCTGCCGTGACTGAAGCAAGTCGCGCACGAAAAAACATACTGTTCTATTAATAAACTATTGGACAAAGTAGAATTAATTTGTAAGTTTTACTACATTTTCTTACTATTTTATGCTTGTCCTCTTCAATGACTGAATCTTGGTACGTCGTTAATATGCTTACAATTATTCCTCAAAGTCGACAGAATTATAATCATCACTAATATATTTTATTGGATGAATGGTATAAATGAATTGATCATTACAGCTTAATACGAAACAACTGACTGACGTGACTGTTAAAAACCTTATCTTCATAAAATAACGTTTTCAATTTCTGTTAAGTACTTTAGCATCAATATATCTAATAGGTTTAATTATTGAAGGTATACTTCTTTAGGCGCGTTAGGGAAAAATTATGAGAGTAATTTTTTACGATGCGCGCGCACACCGTCACAAAAAACTGACACCTAAAGTAAGCTAAAATCAAATTTTTTTAATACAACTATTGATGCTGTATTCGTAAGATATTTAGACAAAGTTTCTACAAGAATCATTGTATCATACTTTAGCTATCATATAGCCTCTTGTAACTCACATGTCTACTGAACCAATGGACGTGAATTAAATAGTAAATATCAATATGTATAAGTTGCATGCTAAAATAAAAAATGTCCATTTCTTTAATTATGTAGAAATATTTTTTTTGTGATATTTAAATAAACTTTATTTAACTAGATAATGCGTTATAATAAAACTTTCAATGTATTAAACACCTTTTTTCTATTGTTAGTGTCGTTTCTACAAACGTAGAATCAGGCGAAAGATAAAAATTTTAAAATATTTATAACTTCTAACGCGTGTACACACAAGTTTTTTTTTGTATTTTTCTTCTATTTAGACTGAAATTCGTATAGATTTTTTAACGAAGGACTGATAATTAGTCTATTTGGCTGTCAAGAAAATGTTATAAGGGACAGATGATGATGTAAGATGTTAGTTTATATACTGAGTAAATATTACGCATCCGTATATTGTATAGAAAATAAAAATAAATATCAATAAATCGTAAAAGCATCAATAGGTCATGTAGGTCTCCATAGATTAAAGAGCTGAGGTCACTTTTTGAATAACAATGTCATCACATACAATAACCATAGATCGTTGTAGAACCAAGTCACAGTTCACTTAACATTAATACGATACCAGGCCTTCAATTTCGTTAAACCTAGCATACAATATATTAACGTCTTGTTAGCTTAAAAATGCATGAACGAAAATGTTTATGCACAGTTAAGTAAATCGATTGTTTATAAGAAATTGATTTGTCACAAAAAATCAATGAAGTAACACTTTAAATCCATCAGTTAATCGATTTGACGCTGTTTTTAAAATGTTATGTATCTTTAGACCAGTGGCGGATTTACCAGCAGGCTGAGTAGGCTGAAGCCTAGGGCGGCAAATTTTAAGGGGCGGCAAATTTAGTTCATAATTTTTTTATTTCCGTTTACAAATTTAAAAAAAAAAATATTATACACACACATAATACGAATTTCGAAAATTGGAGAGAAATTAAAATATTTAACAAAAATCGAAATATTCTCATATACAGTGCTAATTAATAAATATTCCAACATCTCTGCATGAACAATTCCTAAACGCTTTACTAATTAAACATTAATGATTATGAACTTTTAGAATATCGCGATTCGATATTATAATCGAAATTTAGTAATTTTTAAATATATTCTTCACTGATAACTGCTATAATTTTTTCTCCGTGTACCTAATAATTATGAGATCTGCTTACCCAATTCAATCGATATAATATCGATGGTCTAATAAAAATACTGACTAAAATTGACTAATTTTTATTAAATAAAAAACTAGTTCAATATCTTATAGAGATCATATTAATATAATAACTGATAGTTGAACGACTGTGACTTGACAATAAAAAAATTCCTCCACAAAATATGAAGTGAGACAATTTGCTCATTAGAAAATTGATACATTTTATCAGTTAATTATTTTATTTGCAATAAGAAAAAGTTTGGAAAATCCAAATGAGCAGGCCTTAAGCGCTCATGTCGTACACGAATTATTTAAATTAAATGTTTACATCAGTAGATTTGATAACTTTTTCGCAAAGCCAACTTTTTCAGAAAATGCCAATCGGAATGAATTAATTATAATAAGATAAAACAATACTCAGCTGCAATTTTTTATTCAACGGCTTCTCTCAAGTTAAACAAGTATATTAAAAAAAAATTGAAGTGAAAAAATTATTTTTTCGAAAGTTATCGTGTTTACTGTGAACACGATCATCCAAAATCCATACGATATGGCACTAAAATTACTTCCTTTTAAATAAAAAATATGATTGTGGACTAAGATATCAAACTTTAGAGGCGGCAAAAATTAAATAGCCTACGGGCGGCAAATCTATAAATCCGCCACTGCTTTAGACGTAGTTTAATAGTGTACACTAAATGTAGTAACTTTGCAAATTATTAAACGCAGAAATTTATCTCCTCCATTCCCAATCAACTTACCAACTATCTAAATTAACAATTTAATACTGAGTATTTTTTTAAAGTTATTAAAAGAAAACAATTAAAATATTTAAAGAACAATGCATGTATTGGGTATACGAATGCAAAACACTTTCAATATGGGTCTATGTCTAAATATGTTCATGTAATAATTTCAAAGAAATTCACATTAATTTAACTGTGTGTATAGTTAAAATTAATCTAAATAGATATACACTAGTTGTGTACTGTCGTTTTTTTCAATTCATTACCGGAGTTCTTGAGATCGATGTCGAGACTTAAAACAAAAGGGTATAGTTTTAATTTTTTCCGTTTTTTGCGACATTTCTATCGATGCTGCTATCCTATTATTAATAATAAAAATAAAGCCCGTTTATTTCAAATCCTTACAAATGTAAATAAACAGTTTAAATTTCTTTAAATGTTTTTCTTGTAATCTTAACTTCCTTCAGTACCAATGATTGGAATCCTTCAGCTTTTTTAAAATTTCACTCAATCCATGAATTTCTTTTTCTATTTGCTTCCTGCTAATGCTTCTATATCTTCTATTTACCTTTTACTAGGTCACTCTCTTCTCCTTCTTCCCCTTAGTCCTTTCCATAACGTTTAAAGACAACTATATGGAAATTACCTACCCTATTAGTCGTAGCGTATATCTAACGTTAGTCGTTGATAATGACATATTTATAAAACATATTTTTAAATCGGTTACAATAAAATACCTTCTGGCATATTAAAACTAAATGAACGATAATTTAATTTTTTTATTGAAAGTATACTTTGTAAACAAGCATATTACAAATTAGTGGATTATATTCTTATCTTATATATTATAGATAAGAAAGCTTGTTAACATGCTGATCTAATTTTACAGATCTTTGTTATTGTTCATTTTATAATACTACAAACTGTAATTATTATTATTATCTCACACACTGTTTCATTGTTTTTTTTTTATTACTCTTTAGTGTATAATATTCTACCGTTTCGATATTTATAAATATGTGAGGAACATGTATACTAACAATACAATAATTGACCTATAAGCTGCATTGCTTAATTTGTAAGTAATACTTTGTGCCTAGTATAGTAGCTTTATTCTAGGAGTACATTGTCTTCACATATAATTATTTAACTAATTTATACAAATTATTGTAAAACCTATTTTAAAAGAGTAAGTGTGGAGTTTGTTGCCCATTCTTCTCCACACGAAACTACCTTTTGGAAGGGGCAACTAGAATCATCTAAATATTTGTTCAAAAGTGCCATTTTAGGTGGTCTAATTGAAATAAATGATTTGACTTGACTTATTCCAAAGAAACAGAAGTATGAAAAGATTATACACTGATTACAAACAAATATCATACCTTTCCTCTTCATTAGTGTTAATACACAGTCATTCAAGATCATCATTGCCTAAACGGTAATATAACTATTTCATATTAAGGACAGGGAGTAAAATACGGTTGAAGAATAAAAGTTTATGGAAACCCTAGAATTTCTGTCAATACACTTCTTTTCTTGTTACATAGGTGTCATTGTTATCTTGGAAACTTACGTTGTACTTACCTATTTTGAAACCACACTTGTACTACTCGCATATCCAGGCCGGTGTCCTGCGCCAGCTGTTCCCGGACATGCCTCGCAGGTTTCGGACTACTGCTGTAAGCACTTTTCAGGGTTTCCAATTGTTTCGCTGTAATCGTCGTCCGTGGTCTTTTGCTCGCTGCATCCCCATCGATGGAACCATCCCCTGTCATGACAATCTTGTGTTAAAGGAAGAAAAACCAAAAGGTTAATCTTCTATTCGCTATGTCAAAGTAATGCACCTCGTATGTACATTCTTCTTTTGTTATTTAATGATTATGTGCATTTCTAATTAATGTAGTAATTGTAACCCCTAAACACGAGCAAGACATGGGAGAATGATTTTTTGCGTCTCTGAGAATTTTTCGAACCTGACAATGCAAATTCTGGGGTAGTATTTTTATTGTTTCTTCTGGATCGGTAAATCCATTGAATGATATCTTAGCTACCAATCGAATTAGTTTTTTTATTTACCTTTAGCTCTAGCCGCTTCATAATCAGGTTTACATACAAGCTTCCCGTCCTCCATCAAGTAGAATTCGTCGCCTGTGTTCAAAGTTCTGGCGCAAGCCGCACACGCAAAGCAGCGCAGGTGGTAAACATGCGACTGCGCTCGTCTAACTACTTGCGTCGGCGGGATTCCTTGCCCGCACCCTGCACATTTTGTACCGAACCGCCTAGGACAACAGCCGCAATCAAAACAACATTATCAACGTGATATTGTTACATTAATATTCTTAATAGCTATATGACATCAAATAATCTCATCTCAACTGAAGAGAATCAGTTGAATTCTTATTATCAAGTGACACGATGGTACTAATATTATAATTAATACAAATTTGATTATATGTGCTTCTCATTTTAAATTTATTTCAACATAGACATTTCACATGTACCAATACAAGGCAGCAATGGGATTGATTTCAATAAGATCAGGTTGGTCCTCTAATTACTGCGAATAAAGTGTAATTGAGTTTAAAATACTTTATTTTTTTCACTTCAGTTTACTTTTTTATTGATTCTAGTCTAATTAAATGTAGTTTTCCTATAAAGGAGCCACTGAGACTTACTTGAAGAAATCCTCAGTGCAGTACAGCTGATTATTTCTAGCGAAACACTTCCCGGAGAGCATTGCGCGACACTCCACACAGCGAAGACAACCCGCGTGCCAAGTACGATCTGATACTTTGAGGACGTAGCGGTCTACGATCATCTCGTGACATCCACCGCATTTCGGGATACTGGCTGCACAGAAACAAAATTGTTGGTATCCTCATCACATTTAGCATAAAATAATAAAAGCCTAAAATTCAAAAAAGGAATAGAAAAGACACGATTGTTCCTATTAATCGAAAGCTTTTAAAATGCTGCTTTGGTGTCTTTATGTCTGGTTGAGACTAAGATTGTGCTTTAAATGGAACAAATTGTAAATGATAAATTGTATTGTATAGGTATATGTTACATTGTACTGTGTATTGCGTGTCAAAATAAATTTGTTTTAATTTACTCCGTAAGTTTAGGTAGCCAGTCTTATTCAACTAACGGAGTAACTTGTAGATAATTTTTAAAATGTTAATCGAATATAAAATATATAAATTTAAATCTACGTAAGTATATTTTTATATAAGTTTGGTAATAATATCATCGTATTTTATGTTTTCCTATTAAACAAGTGTATGTACACTTTGTCAAAATAAAACTGAAAATTAAATCCTTTATCACAGAATCACTCACAAAATAGACACGGCACTCACAAATCTACATACATAGGAACACTTCAGGTAGATGTTCTAGTTGTATCGGCGGCACTCGCATATCCAGCTCATCCTCTGTACCGGGGAACATCATGGGAGCGAGCATCGCACAACCGCCCTAGACCACAGCGCCCGCCGCACTGACGCCACCCTTCCTCGCAACCCCAACCTCTTATCAGCGACGCTTTCTCATTGGCTAAGGCGCCTCTAATGATAACGAGCAACACGCCCTTCAACCAATCCAAACATACAGCACCACCCACCGATCGATTAAAGAAAATTCCCATTTCCACGCATAATATACCAATGCTCTGTGCACTTGAAGTGCTTCGTAGGCGAATCGAGGTGCTCTCGTTATTCTGATCATACTTTTTCTTTATCATAATTATTCTGGAGAAGTGGCTTCATTATATTGCTTCCCTTCTCGCAAGAAACCTTTGATTTGCTCATTAATTTAGTTTAAGATTTAATTCAGATAATATTATCATTGATATATAGTCAAAAGTCAAAAATCACATTATAGGTAACAATGTACTTATGAACGTCAAAAAATAAATATACATTAAATGCTTCTAATTTTACATTTACTGTCAGTTCTCAAATCAAGGGCGTAGAACGGAAGAGAAGAACTGGCAATAAACTCTCCACCACTCTTAATCGCCAAGTTTTTTTGTTTTATACCATTCGTAATTGGTAGGACTCGTAGATTTAGCCTCATAATATTTTAAATGCCTTTCTTCGTTACGGACGGTCTATATATCTATATTAACGAACTGTCGATTTACCGATACTGGATGGGACCTAGCAACTTACCAGCTGGAGGATTTGTATGAAACTCAAACCACGATACCTGTTTGGATCGGTTTTTTTAAATAGGAAATTCAATATTTATAATGAATAATCTCCCGTCATATACTGTCATTTAAACACCTAGCGGCAGTAAATAGCTTTTAACAAAATATAATGGAGACCTAACATAGCTATTTGTATATTTAAAGTTATACTTACGGAAAAAAATTGTACGTGAGTAAAATACTGAATATTCATAATTTTCTTATATAGGCGGAATTCAATTAATAGTAGTTTAGATAAATATGACATTTTGTAGTTAACCTTTTTAGGCGTCAACACCTAAGTCCCTATCTAAATTTATTTAATTGACTGATTCTGCCGGAAACGTGAGAACTGCGAACTCTTTTCTAGTTAAGAACTATGAATTACTTTGGCAAAGAATTGTGCGTATAACTTGGAGATTGTAGACTTATTCCTTATTATATTTCAAGGTACAAAATACTGATCACTAGCCTCAAAATTATCTGTAAAATACCTCAACTTTAAAGTTTTTCATATCCGACCAAAGTGGGCTTTATAAATGATCCATGTAAATATTTTTTTTTTTCAAAGAAGTCCAGCATAAATATAGAAAAGGCCCGATACCCTCTCCGAATGCATGAACACATCCATCAGATATAACCAACAGACATTTGCAACTAAAGCAAATCTTTCGACTGTAGCATGGGTTTATATTATTCTTTCCTATACACGCTAAACAAGTTTATATTGTATTATATTTGTTTACGTAAACTTGATCCATAAATCTCTAAGTCAATCCAGACTAGGACTTGGTCAAGCGTGGCTACATGAATTATACAAGTGAACGCGAGGGCAGCCGCCTGTGCAACTTTACGACCTCATAAATCACATTCTACCGTCTTACCCTTGGGGTCATTTGTACCTCAATGTAAACTAAAACATAGTTGAGCGAGTTTTAATGTGTAACTCGAAGCTTGTGGAGTCACTTCGGCGCATTATAAATTAATTAATTATTTTTTAATATTGACTTCACTGTAATAATTAAATAATTTTAAGGACGCTTTTGCCAAGAGTCGTTCGTTGACGTCATTTACCCGGTTGGTTGACTAAGGATTGTGTCAAAGAAGATGCACGGTGCCTAGATTAAATATACGACATTTAGTTTTATATTATCATTTTAAAATTATATCAGATTAAAAAAGTCTTAGTAAAAAAAATCAAATTCAAATTTTTTAAAATTTTTTATTTAATTTCTAAATGTTGTGGTACTTTTAATATTTATGTTTTGTTCAGTTATAATATTAAAGAAACTAATTTACATATTATGTAAAAAGTATTCAGGTACAATATTCTTAATTTATATAGTAATAATGATGACCATTTTGTGGTTATTTTTCATACTAGGTACAATATTACCAATACCTTGGAAGGTGGGCAAACTTAATTCAGTTAAACATATTCTTTTATTCGTGAATAATTGGTATATATGAAGCAGCTCAATTGAATTTATCATCAAGCTTGCTTTTACTTCATATAAGGCGCTTATTTTGTCTTATAATTTACCTATTACTTAATTTCCTTAACAGTTTACGAAGATTTTAATTTTGTCGCATGAATTAACATCAAAAATCCTTTGGAAGATATACACATAATTAATAAATAGTTTAGCATTTTTGTATTAAACACAATATATTACCACTAAGTGCAGGACAAAATCGCTGATCATCTATAAAAAAATTTATATTATTTCTAATATAAAAAAAGTGTGTGTGTGTCAGCTACGACGCACGATTGGAGTTTACTCCTTACGAACGATAAAATGGCGATAATATTCTGTGGCTGTCGACCATATTTTCATACTAAAGGTGGTAATAATATATGTTTTTATAATATAAATGTTTGTAGTAGTAATAAAACGTACCTACATCATCTATGCCCAAATAGGATTTTCTTTCTGTGACCAAAGTTACCTTTATAGTAAGAGAAGAATAAGAATGAACTACTATTGACAAAACTCTATGGCACGCTAGACAATCTACTTTTATTTTTTACACCTGTCAACACTGACAATGTTGTAACGTGGCTGTCAAAACGTGAATTCAAAATAGAAAAGTCTGTGTAATGTATTCCATCTCATTCTTTACACGTTCAATCCTACAGATATATATGTTTGTTTCTTTCTACATAACGCCTCAACTTTTCGTGTTACACTTGATTTTACTCCTCATAAAATTTCCGTACCGGGCCTTATAACTCAAATCGTTTCTTAAGGAGTAAACTCCAAAACTTAATGTCTTGATTACTAGGTATAGTATAGTATATACGATACTAGGAAACGAGTGTACTATTTTTCTAAAGTACGAGTAAAAGAGTTCACACATGTCCTCGCGATCAATTATTTAAATATCAATATTCAAAGAACATTAAAATATTTGAATTTGAACAAGCAAATTATATTTTTGCTACACTTTGAATATTTTAAATTTTTCTTTAAAAATCAATAATAATTTCGTACGGATACATAATTGTTAGGGGTTGGTCGCGTGCGCGATCCCCAGAGTGGTGGCGCGTGCGTTCCAGTAATTGAGGGTTGTCCAGGCATTGCTGGAGCTTCTTACCGCTTTGCTAATCCGCAAAACGGATGCGACAGCCTTGCATTCAAGCGAAATCTTGTAAGCTCACATGTAAACATAAATTGCAGGGATTTCTATTCTTATTCTCTCTGTATCACCGGTACCTACGTAAAATTTGAGCGTTATTTGTATTATTAAAAACCTATTGATTTTTTTAAAGGATATAGTAACAAATTTTGAATAGATGTGTTACAAAGATTAATGTATCATAACCTCTTGTACTTTATGAATATTTATTTACTTATAGAATATGACAAGAAAAGACAAAAGAAATTATAATGTCTTAGAGAATTTAAAAATATGCAAGCAACACCCAGACTTTACAATCCATTCACAAATACGTCCTGCTCCAGATACTCCGGAAATGGTTTGCAAGTGTGAAGCTATAATGGTGATTTGTTCGTAATGATAATGCGTACCGGTCCACGTGTTACGCCATGACCGCTACCACTTCAATGAATTATAATGGGTAAAATCCAGGGTAAACGGCGTGTCGGAAGGAAAAAATCATGACTTCGGAACGTTAGGGACTATACGGGTATTGCGACTGCGGAAGGCTGCTACATCTGGCAGGACAAGACACGCTTCACGAGACTGACGGCCGACCTTCAGTAATGGAGAAGAACACAACCTTCACCAAAAAAAGAAGATAATGATAATCCGTGTCTTCATTAAATAGTTTGAATAATTTTAATAACAGTATATAACAAGTATTCTAAAGGTACATATTATATTTAATATAAATTAGTTGTATCTTAGATACTACCTTTCCGTGCGAAAACATCTTATTTAGTTTTATTTATCCCTTACACATTATTAAATATAACTAAAATGTATTATACTAAAATATTTTTTTCATAATACGAAGATTTCTACACGGTTATTAAGTGCCTTGGTTACACCCAATAACCAAAGTAAATAAACTAGTGACTTCAGCGTGCGACTCATCCCTGAGGTACTAAGCTCGAATCCTGGCTGTGCAATGGACTCTCTATCTATGTCCTCATTTAACAATCGATAATACGGTGATGGAAAACATCGTGAGGAAACCGGCATGCCTTACCTAATATAAGTCGACGGCGTGTGTCAGCCGTCAGGAACAAGAGCCTAATCATCTACCGACTTCTCTAACAAATGATCATTAAACAGATACAGATCTAAGCCTGCAAGCTCTGGGTTCAATTTAAATTTAAAAAAAATCAATAACACTGTAATGTGCCTTATTTCTATACCACATTTAGAGCCTTCATGGCATATCGAATAAGACATATAATATAACAAGTAACAAATTGTAAACATCAAATTTTGCGGGTATCCCACGGATTTGTACTGCCCCAAGGCATATTTTTACAGCGCAACGCGTGCCGCTCCCTCGATATTATATTACTATGAGAAATTATTATCGTATGTTCAATCGCAAATAATTACGTCCCTTCGAAATCCTACATCCCACAAATTATGTATGATAAAATCTACGCAATCATTTCACACGGTTAAGGCTTCTTGAACTCAATTTGTTCCTGATTACATTCTGAAGGCCGGATTTATTGATTTTATGTTCGGTAAATTATACACGTGTAGAACTATTATTTCACATAGTATTGTCTTTGATTAACATAACTTTTATTTATTTAATAAAACACTATTTTACATAATTTTA